CAGACATTTTTAATTGTAGTACAGATCGGATGATCAACAAAAATGGGGTGCTTTTTGTTTTTATGAATATCTCAAAAACAAAAAATCTGAAGAAACCCACTTTTTCCTAGAACAGCCCCCATATGGCCTTTTTTTTCAAAATTGGTTTTTTTTAAAGTTTGGGTGATACAATATATTTATTAATTCAATAATAATAACACATTAACTAACATGAATATTTTAATAGATATATATAATACATTATAAGAACAAAGATATTATGAATTAGGTAGCAGATCTTCTGCCTTTAGGCCTTGACAAGCATGTGCCAAATCTATAGAAGACATCATTAGTCAATAAATTTATCAATATTAACAGTCACATAATTTTTTTTGACATATTCTTACCTACACCCCTTTGTCTGTTATCAGATGATGCAGATGAGATACGAATTTGGAATGCTTTTGGTTTGGTAAGTGTGGTCAAGTTGTTTAACCCCTTAGTATCAGTGAGGTCTTGTTGAGGATTGTTAACGTTACCCTTTGCATCTCTATAAAATTCATTCTTGTGTTCATAAACCTTGGTGAAATCCCGTGAATTATGAAAAATCCACAATGAACATAGTAAACAACACTGTGTTGGATTCCCCAGTAATGGGAAAGTTACCATGAAGTAGAAAATGTGAGGAAAATGCAACAACTTGCCCAGGCTGAACCACCACCACAATCTGGAGCTGGGGAAAACATAGTTCACAACCTTCAAAATCTCCTAAAATGACAAGACAACAGAAACAATTTGCCTCATCTTTTGCGTCCCAATGATAATCACTAATAATATTGTAATTAATAGCAATCATTGGAAAAACCCCAAAAGGTCTTGGTGCAAATGGCCCCCATATAAACTTTCATAATTATCTTGAATAAATTTGTTGATGCCATCTGACAGTTGAGACCACGGAGGAGATTATTGACACATTCCTGGTGATCAGCATTGTGTGAACTTGCGATATCAGAGCTAGAATAGGGAAGGGTATTATATAGTGTATAAGCCCCAAAATGTTCAGTAAAATTGTTCCAGAATCCATCACTTCGATGGGTTGCATTATTCAAAGTGTGGAAATAATAATTATTAATGGCATCTGTAGCTTTTGTAATGGCAGATAGATTATCAATTTGTTCAAGACATTGATTTATATTGTAACAATGATGTCGTGATGGTTTTTTGTTCATGGTGCGAGCGTGTAAATTCAAATACAGCTTGTGAGGTGTCCAATAAATATATAAGATAAAATAAATAAAAAGTCCAATATATAAATCTCCCTGTATCCGCACACAGCTCAGGGTTCTCAAGTCTATACCAGGCCTCTGTATCCGCACACAGCTCAGAGCCTACTCAAATCTCTCTCTCTCTATTGCGCAATCTCTCTCTCTACAGTACTAATGGAAGTACTGCTGGCAAAGCATAAAAATAATCAATAGATATTCCACTGTCTGACTAAGGCGTCCCTTAGTTAGTATGGTCTTAATTTGAGGTGAGGTATGCTTTTCAGCAAAGGTTTTATTAAGGGTTTTATTAGAAGTTCAATTATTTATTGTAAAAGTGTTGTGTCTTTATTAGTGATATTATTTTTGTTACAAAGTTAATATTATATTATTATTCTGGTATCATGAACATGATGATTCTCACTTGGTCTAAAACCAAGCCTATTTATACCTCTTGAGGTATTACAAATAACATGACCTTTACAATATTTTGTCCAATAATATATGCTTATTAATCCTATTTTCTGTAATACTAGCTTACTAATCATTAATTACTAATGCTATGACTCATAATGACTAATCCTATGAGTCACTATTACAAATAATTGAATTAATAATTAAAAGTAAATAATTATGTCATAAAATAAGTTAAAAATAGAAATGATGTAATGTGTAACATGACGCAGTATGTGGCGTAGTTGTTACACAAAATATTAAGATAAAATAGAAAATGATGTCATTGTCACGTGGCTGCCGCAGTAAGTTGGCTCCGATTGATCGACATGCTCGGGACTTCTTCAGTCCTTATTATTATTTACAATCTCACAGTAGCTGAAACTGTTTTTGAAAAAAAGGTAGTTTTGTCCAATAAATATAATAAGTTTCTAAATCAATCTACTTTATTTTAAAAAACTCACAATTTCAACCATTAAAATTAGTTTTGTCAAAATTAATTTCACCAATTTTGGCCCATTAAGTGTAGTTTCAGCCACCATCACTAGTTCAAATCAAATTATATATTCGAATCAGTTCAAATCAAATTGAATCAAATCAGTTCAAATCAAATCAGTTTGAATCAATTTGAATCAAATCAGGTACAATTCGAATTTGATTCAATTTGATTCAAACTGATTCAAATCAAAAATTAGACAATTCAATTCAATTCAAATTGGTTTGAATTTCATTGATTCATTTGGAGCTTTAATTGAATGTTTATAATTTTTTGCACAAAGTCAATTTTAAATAAAAATTTTTTTAATGTCATATCTATTTTTGGGTAAAATTATTATTAAAGTTTAACCACTTTGGTAAATCTAATATAAAAAAGTGTTAGGTAAACTCCTTAGAAATTTTGAAAATTTTAGGGTAACCTATCTACATAGTTTCTGGGGGTCCTTACAAATGCTATGTTGGGGTACAGTAAAATTTATTTCTTTCCGATTTTTTCCAATAAAATACTCCAATAAGTTTCATGATGATATTCAAATGAATTAGTTCCACCATATTCAGTTTCTAATTGTTCTTTTGGAATCAAATCGGTCAAATTCACCCATCCAGAATTTGATTTATCATTACAACTATTGTTAAGATCAACAAACTTTATCTTACTCTTGGTAACTGGATCAATAAATGGAGAAATAAGTTTAAAAAAACTCCAAAAATACCAAGGAGCTGAAGACAAAAAAAAAACAATTAGAAATATTTTAATACATCATAATTTGACCTTGATATAATATATTAAAACACAATTACCATTTATAACTAACGCCATTGCTAATCTTTCAACATAATGTGAACTTAGCACATGCATAAATTCTTTTGCTGCACCTAAACCAGGGCTTGTACGTGCTGAACATTTATCAAAATCAACTAATAACACTATATTCTCTATATTTTTAGGCATTAATTTAATTGCTGCCTCAAAAATAAACACTACATTTCGAACTTGTCTGGGACCTGGCTTGGTGTTTTCTAATCCTGGTCTTAAATATACAAGTGGTCTTCCATTCAAATCAAACCCATTTATATGAATTTTACCAGTAATTACCTTAAAAACAATAGAATATGAGTTATTTTTTTAGATATAATAAAATTTTTATTTGAGAAATTTTTTTTTTTACCTCTGGCTCAACTTCTTTTGGATCAATATCACTTGGTTTATATTCTCTTCTCCAATCTATGCTATACTTTATTCTATTTTTAGCATCATTCAAATTCCATTTAGATGCTCTTAAATATCTTTTCAAACATTCTTCATTTAACCAACTTTTTTCGCGTTGATAATTTGAATCTTCAATTGGTAATAATAAATTATCATAAACGAACTCAGTAAGTTGATTTAAAAGTAGTTGCTGACTTGATTCAAGTTCTGCAATAGATTTCAAAGGTTGAATATCATTTGGTGGAGTAAGAATCGGAATTCTTGTTGATCCTTTTTTTTTAATTTCATCTTTATTTTTTTCATCTAGGTTTTTTTTTGACAAATCTTTTTCACCCATTATCATCTAACTTTTAATGATAAGATTGGTGCTGAAGAGATGAAATCTATTTAAAGTTTTTTTTTTTTCAGGCCATTTAATTGATTCAATTGATTTAATATTAATTGAATGTAACACACATTTAAAAAGTTTTATTTGTTTCAATTTCTAAATTCAAATTTTTTACACGAACTCACTAACAAAAGTTTAAAAAAGAATTCTTAGACCTGTACATCAAAAAATGAGCACAACACAAAACCTTCCACCCACTAATAGTGAAAGTGAACGTATTCGTGAACGAGGTGGATCTCGTTCTCGTATGCGTTCTACTTCCCGTAGTAGATCACCACGAACCAGACCCTCAAGACGTCGCTCTCCCTCAAAAAGTTCTTCTAGTAGAAGTCGATCTAGAACTAGAACTAGGCGTAGAATGTTGGTTCTAATTTCATCATCTATTCTGTATTTTTTAGTTAAAAACTTAAGTGATTAATTATATTTTAGATCCCGAAGTCCTGTTAGAAGTCGTAGTCGTAATAGAAGACCTAGCCGTAGAGATGTACGTTTTATTATTGATACATGCATTGATATACATGAACATACATACATGTACAATTGTGATCAATTTTAAAGTCATTATTATATAATTTTTTTTTAATAGGAACCTGACCCTAGTCGTGTATTGGGAGTTTTTAATTTGAGTCTTAGAACTGCTGAAAGAGATTTACAAAATATCTTTGAACGATATGGAAAAGTAAATCAAGTTACAATCGTTTATGATCATAGGGTAATATTAATGATTTTTTTATGTTTTCCATTGCTTTAAATAATAATGATTGATCGATATTAAATTACATTGTATAGAGTGACAGATCTCGTGGATTTGGATTTGTTTATATGGATTCAGTTGAGGAAGCAACAACCGCCAAAGAAAAAACTAATGGAATGGTATTTTTCACATTTCTTATTTAGTTTTAATATTATTTAATGAATTCTTGATTTAAAAAAAACTATTATTATATCTAATTCTAGGAAGTAAATGGCAGAAATATGCGTGTTGATTATTCTTTGACACAAAGGCCACATACGCCTACTCCCGGAGAATATATGGGCGATAGACCTCGTTATCGTAGTAGTGGTAATGTTTATCGTCGTACACCATCTTATTCTCCTCGAAGATTTAATAGAAGAAGAAGTCCTTCAAGATCTAGGAGCCGTAGTTGGTCAAGAGGTCGAAGAAGGTCTCGTAGTAATAGTTTTTCAAGATATAGAAGAAGTTCACCAGGTCGTAGAAGAGGATCTCGTAGTTATTCACGTTAAATTGGTTGGTTGATAGGTTTATGAAATCTAAAAAAAATAGAATTTAATGTTGCAGTAATTAATTACTAACAATACGATATGTGTGTATGCGCGCATGTATTCATGCATGCATATTAGTTTAAATAATAGAATTTCGGATATTTATTGACAGATTTGCGAATTTATATTAATTTTTTTTTTTAAGTATTGTGATTGGGTATTACTACAGTTTCTTTTTTTTTAATATGTTTCAGGATTAAGAGAAAGAGAAAAAAGGGCCATCTGAAGAGTGAAGAATTAAAATATTTTGAAATGAATTGATTATATTCTTAATATATTAAATGAAGTTTTCTATTTACAATTAGGAATAGGTGATAAAAAATTTTTTAATGTTATTTTTCCCATAAAATTTATATATAAATTTAATTTTATGATTATATACACAAGTAGGTAATGAATTAAGTATCCTACAAAAAAATTTCCATTTATATATACACACACACATATATACAATTTATTGCAAATCTCAACCTTTTCAAATGTTATACATTCAAAAATTCAGACCTTCAAGAATTAGAAATATCGTATATAGAAGAAAGAAAAAATTATAAATATATGAAGGCATCGTTTCCACATTTGGAAACATGAAAAGAAAATAATTTTGAATATATTCGAAGAAAAATGAATTATTATACTTATCTCTCTCTTACTTTTAAAAGTGGGAATTAATGAAGTTAAACGAAATCAGAAGGATTTGTGAAAAAGATACAATGGGTTAATTATTGATTAATTGATTGAATAGTTGAATGAATATTGAATGAATGAACCAATTAAAGAATAATTTATTAAAACCATTGATCGAAATGATTGGATTTGAAGAGAAGTTTATCTGTTAGTGATCTAATTGTCTATATTTAACATGCCTTCCGATTTAATATTGAAAAGCGCCAAAAAAATTTTTTAGTCTTTTTACGTATTTGGTAAAAGTGAATGTTGTTGCTGATCTACTGATTAGCCTTTTGATTTATTTATCGTCGCCTATTTAATCTTCTTCTAAATAAGTAAATTTCTTGCCGATTCTTCCCTAGAAAAATTTTTTTATAATTATAATAAAAAACAAATAATGCATAAGCACAAATTACCTACTCAATTTCATAAATATGCAGAACGACTTTTAAAAGGCGGCGTTTATAAATCAATACCAGCCTGGTATCCTGTTATGAAGGCTATTCCTCCTGGTCCTAGTATAATTCGTTCTCAACTTCATTTTAATGAGCCTTCAACAACAATTAGTAGTAGTAATGAATTTACTGCAACTGAAAATAGAGATTCCACAACAACAAACGAAAATAATTTTATATTTAAAACGAGCTCTTATTCTCAAAAACATTTAAGGGCAAAAATTCCAAAGCCTATAAAAATTAGATATGAAGAAGATGAATTAAGAAAAAGATTTTATCATGATCATCCTTACGAATTATTAATACCTCGAGTTTTAATAGAGAATAATAATAATGATGATATATCAAGCGAAGAAGAGGTTTATAAATCATTATTTGAGGCAGAGAAAAAACATTATAAAATAAGTGGTGAAAGGTTGTCTTTCTTTTGTATTAATATAGTATGTTTTTAACTTATAAAGATTAACATTATTTGTATATATATATTTAATATTATTAGTGTGATAAAATATCAAAAATTTTTAATGTCAACTGGGAAAACTAAAAATGAAGCTTATGTTGAAGCATGTAATGAATTCTACAAGATTCGAGCAAGACAAGAAGTTGAAGAACGTATTGCAGAAGAACAAGCAATAGTATTTGGATCTAAAATAAATAAATCAGAAGTTGAAAAAACATTAAAGAAGGAAGCTAAAAATCTCAAAAATTCAAATATAATCCAAATATTGAGAAGATTTTAAAACAATTTATGATTATAGATAGATAATCTTCATTTTAAAAACCATAAATATATTTTTTGTCAAGATATAATCATAATAATAACAGCAATATTTATAAATTAAATAATTTATTGGCAAATTAATTTCTAACAAAAATACTTTAGGGCTTTGTGCCTTAAAAATAAAAGCTCCAGCAACAGCAACATTTGCAACCACTTCAGCAGCTTGATCTATCGTATCAAGGGCAAGACCTCCATCAACTTCAGGAATTGTTTTCTTAATGTTTTACCTATCTGCCTAATATTAACAAGTTTTGTTAGGGACGTCTGCATATTAGCTAATGATTTTAGGTTTATGTAACTGTGAGCAAATTTAAAAAAGATTGGCAAAGAAAATTTCACAACAAAAAAAAAGTAACTTAATATGTTTTTATACATATCATTTTTGAAGATCATGGCGAGGTTTCAGTAAAGGACGGAATTTTTGTTTAATCCAATTTGTTATACAATTGCTAAGTAATGATAATTCACCATCCATCATTTTAATAAATAATATTATATATTAAAAAGTAGTAACCACCCACTTTCTTTGATCACCCTATCAAATTCAATTAATATCAAAATATTTATATTAATATTAATATGTTGTGAGCTTAAGTTAATCAAAATTTGTTAAATTTACAACATAATGAATTATAATAATAATTAATAATAGATTGCTTAAAAATCTACTATTACTATGGTGCGTCTAGTCTAGTCCCAGCAATTGACATAATAAGTGGCCAAATTTGAAAATTATATATGAACACAGGTGTAATGTTGT